CGCCGCTCGAGGCGCGGAGCCCTGGCGGCCGCCCGGGCAGCGCGGGCCGGGCCGGGCCGCGTGCCCTGGCCGCGGGGCGTTGCGGAGGACGCGCGCAGAGCCGCCCCCAGCGACACGCGCGTCGGGCGCGAGCGCAACCCCGAGTTACGAGGAGCTCGTTGGGGCGGCTATTAAATGACATCTGCAAGGGAAAGAGTCGCTTCATAGCAGTTACRGTGCCTCCGTGAGAAACGTTTCTTCAGTATAAAATTTTAATAATTGCCAAAATGTAAAGTAGTTTTGTTAAAGCTGAATTCTGGACAATACTTTATTTTGCCTGTCAGTTAAACTGTGGGGTCCCATTTTTTTAGCACTTTTTAATTTTTTTATAATATTTTATTTTTAAGCCCACAGCTGTGTGTAGTTACTTAGCGCTTAAGTAGTGCTTAATACGAAACATAAACTGCCCGACATGAAGCCAAGTCACTCTTGGGCACACGCGGCTGTGTGCTGGTTAAAATGARCACGATTGTGCGTTGGCGCAGGGCTGGCCCGCATAACTCCAGGCCTCCTCCGAACGGGGCACCGAGGCAGCGCTCGCTCTGCGCACAGGCTGACGGCTTTTTCATTCCCTGCTCACCAAGTTTTGTCCTGTACTTTAAGTGTTGTTCAATGAAAGTTATGAACATGAAGTATAATTTCAGTATATTCAAAATATACTGTCACAGAAAAGTGACAGTAGGGGGCGCTGCAGAAGGACTGTTGTTTTTTTTTTTTTTTTAAATAAACGTTTGAAAATAATGAAAGTAAATCATTTTTGGCTATGCAGGCTAATAGTAGTACTGTCTTTTAAGAACCTAAACGAAAGTACACACTAAAAAGAAACATGTATGAGTGTTGACATAAAATGCAATTTTAAGAGTAATTTTGTTCTAAAACCTGTGTAATTGTTTTTAGCAAGTTTAGCAAACAACAGCACACAAAGTAAATCCTACCTTAAAGCACAGGAGGTCAGTTTCCATAATAGATGACAGAATTTGTTCCAGATACTGAGGAGAAAAATAAATGATTAAAGTTGTTGCATTGCTGCATGGTGGAGTTCACAAGGACTAAGTGCAGTTTCAGTTCTATTGAGGTATATACAGTGAACAGAGAGACGTGTAACATTTGCCTTGAAGCTGCTGGGGGAAGAAGAAAAGAAGGGGGACATGGGCACCTGGAAGAAAAGACTGAGATTTGGCGTTCAGGAGAGAAGCCAACAGGCCCTTTGTACACAGCTGGTGGCTAACGTAATAAACACATWTGTTCACTAAGGCTATCGAAGGATTTTGTTAAAGTAACCACATCCTGTTAATGATCCACAAGATGTTAACCATGAATAGGCGTTGCTTGCATAGGAACAAGTTTGCGAGACCAAGAGATAGCCAACTATTTTGCATACAATGGGCACTGAGGGCAATGGGAAACAGAGGGCACTGAGGAAGACTTATCTGCCTTCCTCCAAAACGACCATCAGAAGGCAGATAACGACCACCTAGAAACAGCTGGCGCAAGCACATTCCGACTGAGCAACATCAACAACACACAGTGCAGACTGAACGGAACCTTCGGAAAAAACACCAAAGGCGGGACTTGGACTCAATATAAATACCGAGACTTTGGGGACTTGAGTGGGGCCTGAGAATGACTACCTCCAGGCCGCCATAGCGCTGTCACCCTTTGTATCCAGCTTACTTTAATAAAATGTAGATGAGAAAATTGGCTCGCCTCATCTATAACAGCTAAGACCAATTTTGCTAAGAACATACCAACTGCTGTACTGGGTCAGACCAAAGCACCACCTATCCCAGCATCCTGTTTATGACAGTGGCAGCAGTGGATGCTTGGGGAAGTGATGAAGAACAGAGCATTTTTCAAGTCTATAGTGATTTTTTWAAATTTTTTTTTCTTTCACCCTCCAAAATTTCTAATTTACACCATTTCTGAGCAGAGGATGATGCCTGTGCATTTAATAATTCTTCATGGATTTCTCTCTCATAAAGTTCACTGGTTGCTTTTGAGCACACTGAGAGCGCTGCATATTTACTTACAATATGAACAATCACTTCAGGCAGTTTATTTCAAACCTGCCATCTACTGATTGCATTTGTTGTCCCTATCTTCATTTGTTTTGGGACAGACAGAGAACTAACAGTCCCATGTAACCCTCCTTGTGTCACTTTRATTTTAGAGAAAAATGTTAGTTATTTTATAACTCTTCCAAGTTGAAGAGTCCTTTCTGGTGCTTTGTAAGCCCTCACTGGGAAGCCATTGAACTTTTTCAACCAGCACAGTACTTAGCTCAACAGTATCTTGTTTTTGAGACTAAAGAAATGGAAAAAAAAATCATAAAGTTGTTCACCATCAGCTTATGTTCTTGCACAAAGATTAAAGCTTTTTTTTTTTTTTTTTTTTAAGCATTGTGCTTTCTCGTGTCTCTGCATGCCATGTATTGGCATTGTTACTTTCATTTACTTTGAGTTTATCCATATTTCTTTCAGTCTCACAATGCTCTTCTGCAATTACTAAGATACGCCTTCATTTTTACTTTTCTGAATAGCTTTATTACCCCAAATCATCTGCAAAATTTGCCATTTACCATTTCTGTCCTTTTCTAGATCACTTGTGAACACCTGGAATAGCACAAGTCCCAGCACAGATCCCTTTGAGATTCTACTGGTGGGTCTTCCACTATAGCAACTTGCTGTTTGTTCTCAAAATCTTTATTAAGCATTTAGCCTTGAAAAGACTGTTGTTCTTGYCTCTATGGCCATTTAACTTATTTAACAACTGTTGGTGAAGGACTTTGGGAATGCCTTTTGGAAATCCAAGTATTCTGAAGATCAGCTGTATTCCCTCTTCTTCATGCCTTCTGACTCCTTCAGAGGACCGTGAAAAGTCTCTGAGCCCYGATTTCCACTTAGAAAAAGTCATATTGACATTTCATCATATATCACACATTACCAATCTGTTTACTGATTCTATAATTTACTGTATTTTCTACTATTTGCATCACAGATACACCATGTTTTTGAGTCTGCAGATTTCTAGATTTTTCTTAGAAAACTTGGCAAATATTTACATACTGTTTGCCACCTTCTAGATACCATTCAGCAGTTTGCTACCTGCTCCTGACTTTTTTTTTTAAAGGATTATTGTTAGTGTCCATGCTTTTTGCAAATTAAATTACTGTTCACATACTCTTTTATTGGCCTGCCCTCTTGTGGTTTCACATTTAACCTGCTAAATGTTGTTATCCTTTTTTCTTTTTCTTCCCTCAGTGAATACAACTTCCACTCTTCAAAAGATGGCTAATTGTAAAAATTTCCCTTTCAGTTTGACAAAGTGACTAATGAGCTTCCTTTTGCTCRTTCCCAGGCCTTTCTCACAAACATGAATACATAAATACAATTTGCTATGTGCCTCAAACATGATGGCCTCAAATACTCTCTGAGGTACTGCAAAAACTTAAATGAGGGAAGGGAAGGGAAGAACTGCTAGAGTGCATAAGAGCTTTTTATTTTCTTTTGCTTTTGACAGGACTTGTAGGTGTGCAATGTAAGTGCTTAGTTCTGGTTGTGAGCCATTGCTAGCTAGCTTCTTAAACAGACATCCTCTCACCTTTGATCGAGTGCTGACACTGGAGGTCCTCTGTCTCCAGGGTGGGATGTTCTGAACAGTTCTCCTAATCACCAACCCTGGAATGAAATGGAGGTTTCTTCTTAGACAGTGAAGGGTATCACCCCTTTGCCGTACGAGGCCTCTACACCTTGGAAAACAAACAGGCTGTTTCCTGGAATAGGCGCCTTGGGTGGCTAAAGCAGGAACCTGGCAGAACACTGGGCAGAACTGGGTGATGAACTGGGAGTAACTAGAGAAAGCAACTGCTCGTTTTAAAGTTAAAAGAACAAATAAATTCTTTCAATTTAAGGCAGTGAGGGAAACACTTCCCCATTTTTTCTTCCACCAGAAAAAAACAAAACTGTCTGTATGAAACTGAGTAATGGGAACAACTGTCCCAAACCCAATTAGTTTAACCCCAACCTCAGCAGCCAGTGCTGCAAAACTGGACGTCACGCTGCCTGTGGAGCCGACACACGTCCCCACAGCCTCCAAAGCACACAAAGGCGTTTTGTTTCCATAGAAAACAGTAACAGCTTCCAYGGTCTATACCTATTAATTTACTTATTAATAAAGCCATCATATACTTACTTGTGATGCTGAAGCTTCAGAAGGTGGTTTTTGAGAGGTTGTCTGTGTTTGCAGGCCTCGGAAAGCACCTTCCCCTGCAGTCACAGGCAAACAGACATGTAAGCCATAGCCTGTAGGGGCACCTCTGTCAACAGCTACATGGGGTTATTTCAGAAGAGGAAGACAAACAGCACAAACATCCTGTGTGCTGGACTCATTGCTACAGCCATAGCAACAAGCTAAYGGACAAGTGCTGCTGTGATACTTGTGTAGTGGCCTTCTGCTGTAGCAATGATTGGAGCTGTCATGACCGAGAAAGTACCTCAGCAGCTGGATTAACTGCTCTTTAAGGGATATAGCCTCTTCAGGTACTGGCAGCTTCACCTCTCACTAAGCAAGGACAGCGGATGAGAACTAGCGGCAGTTTAATGACCAACACATAAGCTGGAAGGGGCTGCGCGGTGGCCTCTAAGCTCAGACTGAGCCGTGAGCCGGCGCACGCTCCGGCCGGGGRCTCGGCGGCGAGCGGCGCGCGACTCCCCGGCCGCAGCCACCTGCGCGGGCACCGGGCCTGCCGCGGGGCGCCTCTCCCGCCGGCCTCTTCCCGCAGGCGCTGCCCCCTGCCGGCCGGGCCGGCCCGGGGCCGC